TCATATGTGGGATCCGAACCGGGGCCCTCTGGCGTCCCAAGCCAGTTCTTAACCATCATGCCACTTGGCCGGCTCGAAGGTTGTTTTCTTGATCGCCTTTAGCTTATGGTTAGTGAGCTCTTTTAAGTTTGTTTTGTGAACAGAGGATAAAAGACCTCTTAAAAAAATTCTGAGTGAGATACATGTGATATCTTACTCCCCCCCGCCAGACTCATCTTCCTTATGGTAATTTTCCCCAAATTTTGCTCCCTTGATTAGCATTGCTTTCGGTCCCTTTTCTATGGTGGTGGGTCAGGGATGAAGCAGTTAAAATAATGTAGGTTAAATAGGTTAAAATAAGTCATTATGGTTTATAAATGTAATTTTTATATGTTTTTGTTTTTGACAGCCGATTTATTTTGCATATTCCCAGCGAGGAAAGAGACAATGCTATTCGAGTATGTTTTCAGATTGAACTTGCCCATTGGTTTTACTTGGATTTCTACATGCAGAACACACCAGGATTACCTCAGTGTGGGATAAGAGACTTTGCTAAAGCTGATATCCTTTTTATTACTATAATGACTGTCGTTCATTTTTATCAGTAAAATATTTTAGCACAAATTTCCTTTTGCTTATCTTTCAGGTTTATAACCTATTAGATAAAACATACTTCATTTCTAAAAATTGTCGTGTATAAATAGTAGACAATTTAATAGTATTCTTGTTTTTAGGTAGAGTACGTCTTGAAATGTGTACTAATGATTAGAATTAAATTTGATTTTCTTTTCTTTCAAAAATAGATAACCTATTTCTACAACTGATCTGTTTTTTACTTTCCTTTTGCTGTTCAATTTAACTAGATGATTTTTAATCAGATTGCTACCTTTGTGGAATAGAAATCCTTAAATAATTATTGAATACTTACTGTGTTCAAAGCAATGTTTTTGGTTTTGTGGCAAATAATGAAGTCCTTGCCTTTGAAGAAGCTTACCCGCCCCCCCCCTCCACCCCCCATTTACAGGTAAGGTAGAAACTTGCATAATTAGATATAAAAGATTCACATGAATATTTAAGATTATAAAAGAGGCTATGTCACAGTACTAAAAAATGGACAATTTGCAAATGGTCCTGATAGTAAATTTTTTAGAATTTGGAAAAAGGGTAGAAAGATTTTAAGCAAATCTATAATTTTAAGGGGATATAGGGCTATTTTCTAAATACAGGAGTGGGGAATATATTCCAGGTAAAGAAAAGGGATTGAGCAAAATTGTAGAGTTGGAAAGGAATAAGGGATATCTTAGGAAACGAAGTTTGAATGGAGCAGAGGTCTCTTAATGGGATATAATAGGAGATATGAATGAAAGATATATAGGGGGGATTTGTGGGTTTTAAAATCTTGAGCCATAGTGCTTTTTTATTCTGTAAGTCATTGTTTTAAACCACAGATCGTGTTCAAGTGGAATTCCCACAGGTTCACTGTGCTACACTAGAGTTGGAGTAGGTGGCCTGAAATAACCCTCGTACTCCCTTGAGCCCCATGAAGTAAGGAACCCCCTAAGGAACCTGTAGAAAAATGAATTAACACTGTT